CCCCAAAACCCCAAAACCCCAAAACCCCAAAACCCCTTTATAGATATATAAATGGAAAATAACAAATATTTAAATACAATATGCATAAGCTGAAATTTGTCTTCCTCCTAGCTTTGTTAGTCACTAGTGCTATGGCCAACACTCCTGAGGATCAGGCTACTAAAGGATTTAGCGTTTGGAGATTTATCGAGCCTATAACTTGAGGAGTTTGAGAGACAATGATCGGAGGATTCGCATCTGCCCTTCTAAGTTCCACCTCAATTAAAGTATTCGAGAAACTTGTGTCCTATGTTGTTCAACTGTTCATGGATTCTTACCAGGCAGAAATTATCAGTGATGCTTATGTTCGCGTTGTCATGGAGAACCTCAAGGTTAAAACTTTTGAGCCTCATTACCTATGTGAGATCCTTCTCCCAGCCTGTGGCAGTAGGGCTCACAAGTATAAAGTTCAAACAAGGGAAGAATTTGAAGAAAGAATCTTGGCTGATAAACCAGATTATATCCAAGACAATAACTTTATTAACAATCTTTATGAGGAAATTGAATTAGATGTCCAAGCTGGAAATGACAGAGAGACTATCCTGATGTACCAATTTTCTGATCTTCATTGGAATATGGAGTATACAGAAGGAGCTAGTAATAACTGTGGTGAGATCGTATGCTGCAAGCCAAACCAAAGACCTCCTACAAAAGAAAGCGAGGTGGCAGGAAAGTGGGGAGACTACAAATGAGATGCAAATCCTAAAATTCTCCCACTCTTGAGGCATGTTTTTGATGAAACTGGAGAGCCTGATTTGATTATGTGGACTGGTGATAACCCCGATCACTCTATTGTGAAGGACCCTACCGTGAGTACTAATGCTACTGTGACAATTACAAAGATAATTGAAGAACATTCCCCAGATACTACAATTTTTCCGATTCATGGTAATCATGAGTTTGATCCAATGAACGTTCAAGACTTTAGTCTTGAGCAAGATCCTGTTATCGAAATTGTCGCTAATTCTTGGAAGCATTGGATGACTAAAGAGGCCAATGAACAGTACAGAAAACAGACCTTCTACTCCATGATGGCTAATGACCACCCAGATACAACAGAAGAGTTTAAAAGAAAGATGGGAAAGACCAGAATTATTGGCTATAATTCTCAAAATTGATATATTTATAATTTCTTCACTATTGGTCAGGAGAGCGACCCAATGCATCAATTAGAATGGCTCGAGAACTTATTGAGGCAAATGGAAATAGATGGTGAGATTGCTATTTTTATTGGCCATATATCACCAGGAACTTCTGACTGCATTAGTGAAGTCTCCAGTAGACTCAGGGCTATTTTTGACAGGTTTCAACATATTATCAGACTTAACCTCTTTGGTCACACCCATAGAGAGGAATATGAAGTTATTAGATCAGTGAAAGACAAGAAACCAATAGGAGTTAACTATTTAACTCCTTCGATGACCACTCTAACTGACCATAATCCTTCGTTCAGAGTGATCACTCTTGATGCAGAGACCAAACTTCCTTTAAAAATGAAGACTTACACCTTTGATATTGTTGAAGCTAATAAAAATGATGCTCATGCCTTCTTCAAGGAAGACCATGAGATGACACAGGAATACGGAATGAAGGACCTTAGCCCACAATCATTCCTAGACTTATCAAAGAGATTCATGGATGAAGAAGACCTTAGCTTAATTTATAGTAGAAACATGTTCGCAGGTGGCCCTGGCTCCTTAGTCGGTAAAGGATGTAACGCTCATTGCAGAAGACTATTCTCATGTCGTACTTCGAACTCAGTGTTCTCAGACTCTAGAAAATGCATGCACTGGAGAGACATGACAGATGTCTGGGTGCTTGAAAGCTACCTCTTCGATTTCATGAATGGAAGATGGGTGAGCAATAACTAATTCTTGGCTACTCTACTGCCCACTTCACATAAATTTAGGCGAATTCTCAATCTTGGTGGGTAAATTAGGGGTTTTGGGGTTTTGGGGTTTTGGGGTTTTGGGGTTTTGGGG